GAGAGCACCGCTTGGCTGCCTCTACGCCGCACACACTGCAGCGGGGCTTGTCAGGGGCCAGAGCCTCCATCATGTCCAGGCTATAGGTCTGTGCCCACCTGTGACGGGCAGAGAGGGGCCAAGGCTGCTCATGGGGAACTGCTGAGAAGCAGGAAGCTGTCCCCACTGCGCCCTGCCACTGAGCAGACATACCCAGCCAGTACCACAGAACCCTCTATCCTCCCAGTGCTGAGGTCCAGCCCCTGCTAATGGGGATACTGGCTCCACTGGGCATCCCGTGTGCATGTGCCAGGGCCTTACCTGCGTGCCTGGAGCTTCAGCTCCTCCTCGGTGGGGCTGAAGACACGCTTCACCTGGTGCTTGGCGATGGCTTCCCACTTCCCCGCATTTTTCTTGAGGATGTGGTCCCAGATGACGGGAACCTGCCAGGAAAGGCAGAGTGGGAAGAAGGGGTGCTCACAGCTCGACTTGAAGGCGCTGCAGTACGGGGGCATTCGGGGGGGTGTGGGGCTGGCCCTGGGCACGAGGAGTGCACCCCCCCAGGAGGGCGAACGGAGACAGCATGTACAGAGGCAAAGGCGCAGGGAGTGAGGGTGTGCTTTTGGGTACACGGAGGGGACGGATCTGCTCACGAACAAGCGTTCAGGTGAAACAAGGCAAAACCCTCAGGGTCCGGCTGGGAGTGAGACTTCAGCCGTGAGGCCTGGGCTCCCAAACAGAAAGCCCTGAGATCTCAGCACCCTGTGTGCCGGCAGCAGCTTGAACCCTGTGCTCCAGAGCCATTTGCCTGAGCAGATTTTTCCACTTGTCGCTCCCCCGAAGATGAACACCCAGGGAAGGGCTGGCCAGCACAAAAGGGAAAGCACCAGCCAAGAGCGGCGCGTGGAGTTCAGGCTCTAGAGAGGATGATGCTGCTTCCAACAGCGCTGCCTTCTCCAGCAGAGTAAAAATAGCTACGCCTGGAAGGGGACTAAGCTGCTCTGGGAACAGCCGAATGGAAAAAGGCCTTTCCTCAGCTTGGCTCGGCGACAAGGAGTGAGTTCACTGCTTTCTGGGCAGAGCAGGGAGTCCATGTGTATGCTTCCAGCTGGCTCCCCCTGCCTGCTCGCTGGGCTCAGCCCCAGCCCTTGGCGGAGGCAGGAGCAGCACCAGCACAAAGGCAGAGCTACAGAGAACGGCAGCAGCCTGGGCGAGGGCTGGACGAGGTCCCCAGCGCGGCAGCTGCCTGTCTCTGCCCCACTGACACGCTGGCAGTCGAGGCACGTGAAGTGAATCCCTAACCACCTCCGCCCCGCTGCCACCCCCAGCCCCAACCACTCAGCTGGCCGGTCTGCAGCCTTCCGCAGTCCCAGCTCCCGGCACGGGCCATTCCTCCGGCTCAGCCGCAGCCAGCTCCAGCCAGGGTGCATCACCCTCCTCCCGGGCCACGTGGCCAGCCATGCTGGGGGCAGCGTGCTCCCCCTCTGCACAGCCCAAGCAGCTGCTGCCTGACCCACCCATCCGCTCCAGGAAGCGGTGTGGGAGCCTCCAGCAGTGGGGAAGAGCCTCTGCTCTCCCAGCTCTTCAGCTGCCTCTTTGCAGATTTGCCCCCACACACAGTTTCTCCCCTCAGCTCATGAGAAAGCAGTAGAAACACTTTTCTCCAGAGATCACCGCTGCACAGACTAAAACAACCCAAGAACCTCACACTGTTTAAAGACACACTTGGGCCCATCTCCCAAGCCCCAGACATCAGCTGGGACCAGTTTGACTCCAGCCTCCATCACCAGACCTTGACATCCCTCTGTATGCAGTGTGCCAAGCAGCCCGGGGCCAGGGCCGTAAAAGGGGACTCTTCCCTGGGGAGTCCAGAATTCAGCAGAAAAACACTGATAAATTTTAAACAAAGAGTTAATCGTCAAAACAAGCCAGGGGTTGTCTGCCCCACGCAGCCACCACCCCAGGGACTCAATGCAATCTGGAGAGCTGTTTATAACCCAGCATTTATGCCTTTAGCTGAGACTGCTTGGGCCACTGCGGTAGCAGGACAAGGCTCCCACGTCATCCATGGACAACTTTGCTGGCCATAAGGGTGTAACTATGAAATGGGTGCTTGGCTGCTTTACCAGGGCACCACCTCTCCAGAGCTGAGCTTGGTGGGAAGAAAAGGGGGTAGGGAGCTATCAGGCTTAAAGCAGAGAGGCTGGAGAGGCAGAAGAAGAGCCACAGGATACCTGCTCCCGGACAAGATCCTTTTTGGGGGGAGCTGGCTCTATCACCGCGAGGTGGCTCAGAAATCTCTGCATCTCTACCAGGTTAGGCAGCTGGTCAATGAGGACATCCGTCAGGAACACACGGAGCTGCGGCCACAGAGGGGAAGAGAAGAGTGAACAGACAGAGATCAAGACAAGGGAGCCAGAGCTGGGGAAGCACCGTGGCAAGAGCAGGGATCTGTGGAGCACTGGCAGAGCGACCCATAGGGGGTCCCACCAGATGCACTCGCAAACGCAAGCTTTGCTGTTGCTGTCACAGTGACAGACCCTGCTGCTCTCCCACCACTGGCTCCTAGGAGCCCACAGCGAGGATGGGGAGAGATGCCCGGAGGTGCCTAGTGCTGGCAAGGTCCTACTCTGTGCTGAGGGGCCCATGGCCTTTGTGGTGTAGGGGCCTACCTTGAGGAGCTGGCTCTTGTTGAAGCCATCGAAGTGGTATTTGCGCTGGCATTCTGGGCTGAGCAGGAGGTTGAGGAGGGCAAGCCACACCTGCCCATCGAGTTTGGTCATCTTCACCTGGTCTTCAGGGGGCACCACGTGCCACGCGCCATTCTCAAACTTCTTGAGCTTGCCTGAGGGACAGAAGAACACATGGCTCCAGGGAGAGACAGTGCTGCCCGAGGGAAGACAGCTCAAAGGAGGGGATGCTGGCCTACACTCACTTTCTCACTCCACCACAGGCAAGCCCCTCTGCTTCTGCCTGCCTCAGTTTCCCCACCTCTTTGCTCAGCATAGCAGCCTTCTTGGTACCGAGACAATATATTAGAGAGCAGGAAAAGCATAATATGTATTAAAACAATAGGGCTGTGGCAGGAACCGAAAGATCCCTGTGGTATCTCCCTCTGTACTCAGCCAGGAGTGTAGAGCAATGGTAGATGGTGGGGGAGCCCATGCTGCAGCAACAGTGCCTGGAGGGGCATGTTTTGGGGTATCAGCATGGCCAATACCTGCTCTTCTGGAGGTTCTTCTGCTGGTGAAAGCCAGAAGCAGCACGAATGTAACAGAAGTGACAAAACAAGCTCCAGGAGCTACTGTGCTGCTCTGGAGGGTGCAGGGGTTGAAACCCTACATCCGCAAAGCCTGGAAATGCCTTTGCACTCGTTTCTTTCCAGTATCTCCCTCAGAGCCCTGGATCAAAGCTCCCTCTGACACCCGAAGCACACAGGCGGAGAGAAGGGATGCATTTCCGGTCTGGAGGAAAGAGGAAAGCTCCCACATCCAGCTGGGCTCCTCTCAGCAGGCACACGGCCACATGTTTGCCAGCATCTCTTCCTCCCCTGCCTGTGCTGTGACCCCCCTGGTGCCAGGCTGCAGAGGGGAGTGCAGGTTCCCACCCCCCAGGCTGCGCCCCATCACTGCTCACAGGCAGGCAGTGGTGAAGCCGGGGGGGTGAGGAGGGGGCACGCCTGGCTGCAGAGGTGCAGGAGGCAGGGCTGATGGCACAGGTGACAGCCAATGGGCACAACCTGATCAGAGGCCTTTGGCAAGAGAGAAGCTTAATGACCAGCAGCTTCAGGGCAATGGGTTTGCTGCCCGGGAGAGCCCATGTCTGGCTCCAGCCCTTAGTGCTGTCCGAGAGAGCTACAGACAGGCTGAGACTGGCACTCTGGTCCTTCTGTGTCCAGGGCAAGACTCCTTAGAGGAGGAGGCGGGGCTGGCAGATGTGCTATGCTCCTGCTCCTGTACTGGCCGTGATCAGCTCAGAAGAGACAGCCCTGTGCAAGGATCAGCTTTTGCAAGCACTGCCGGGTCCCCAGCCCAGCTGTGCTGCAGCTGCTTTTGAGCTGAACAGCTTCAGACTAGCGAGGAGCAAGGGGAGGAGGCCAGAGGGAGGGTAGAGGGGGAGCAGCTTTCTGCAAGGGCTCCTGCAGCAGATCCCAGCACGCCACCACGGCGCCCCAGGTACCACAGGGCACGACCCGCACCTGCTTCACGGCAGCTCCAGGGGCAATGCTCCACCAGCTCGACAAGGAGGCAGGGCAGGTTGTGGGTGTTCAGCATTCGTGTCAGCGCGCTCAGGGACAGACTGGAGATACGACAGAAAGGGTGAAATGGCACTCTCAGACAAATGCCAGAAGGATACAAATGCTCCCTGAGGCAACTGGGAGAGGCAGGAAAAAACCAATAATCTGGGTTCCTGCAAGTATCATGGAGCAGGGTGGAGTGCTTCTGCATTTGCTTCCCAGGGTGCAGTGCCACTGCCACCACAGATACAGCCAGCTGCTGAAAGGGGTCCAGGCACCCGCTGCAGCCCCATAGGAATCTCAACCGGTGAGCTTGGCATGTGTCCTCTGCTGCTCCTGGGCGCCTACCTCTCCACATGATCGGTGATGAACCTCAGCACGGACAGGGCTTTCAGGGAAATCTCAAACTCCATCATCTCCGCCTGCTTCTGCAGCTCCTGTGGGGGGACAAGCACAGCCTCGGGATTTCAGGCCCCATTTCCCAGGAGCTGCAGGGAGGCAGCCTGTTGGCTGCACATCAGTAACCACAGGCTGGGGAGGAAACCAGAGCCCTGCAAAACAAACTCTGCTTCTCATCTCAACTGTGTCAGCTGCTGCCTGTTTGCCAGGGCAGCCACAGAAGTGCTCGCAGCCCACTGTTGCTCGTCCCTCATCTCCCCACCCCTAACAGGTCACGGGTGACTACCGGCAGCAGCACCCCTGCACAGGGACACCCCCTGACAGAGGCCAGTCCCAGATGGCTCCTCTCTCCACTTCTAGGCTCATCTTGTGGCCCATGGCCCTGTGAGGTTGAGGGAAGGGGGAGCTCCATGATCTGCAGAGGAACCAGAGGAGGAGGGAGAAACTTGGCCCTGGCACAGCTGCAGTCCTACATCCACCCCTCCTGGATCTGCCTCTCCCCCACAGCTTACGTACAGCCAGCTAGAATATCTGCCTGTGGTTATCCCAGCCTGCAGCTATGCCACGTTCTCTAGCCACCCGGCCTCCTTCCCTTCCCAGGCAATGTGGACACCTCGTTCATCCCCCACGTGCTCGGGCTAACAGCCTGACCACCGTCTGACTCAGCCTCTTTTGAGATCACCAGGATGGCTAGACTGAGACGTGCCAAGTCCTTCTCCCTGGCCCAGGCAGAGCTTCTCCTCTCCAGTCCCAGATGCTCAGCAGCTCATATCTTCGTGTACAGAGCACTGACCTCAGCAACTCATATTTCTCTAACGCAGCACTGCAATAGTTCCCTTGAAATTCCTGCGGTAAGAAGCCCTGCGCTCCCCGTGCCGGTGCCCCAGATGCTACTAAGAAAGGCTTATGGGCCTTTCCCCCCCACCTTCCTCTCCAAACTCCCCCAGTGGGGCTGTTTTCTACAGCTCCTCCTGGTATCCAGACCTCATCTCTGCTACCTTCAGGCAGGGACTATCTTTTGCCTGTGCCTCTGGGGCACAGCAGAACAGGTCCTGCTCCAGGCGTTACCACCATACACAGACACAAAGGGCAACAGGCTCCACAACACAGGAGAGGGTAGGAACAGCTTTTTCATAGGGGGTTATTGTATGTAGAGTGAGGAGGGGCTGGAATGAATCAGAGGAAACTAGGCTTCTTGGGAGAAGAGTGCTTTTTAGAACCCTATTGGCTAGAAAAGGTCAGTTTTTTAACTTGAGCCATGTCAAAGCACTAACAGACACCTCCTTCCCCTCCCCAGCTGGGAAAACATTTCCTGGAAAACATCCCTATTGTGCTCTGGAGCCCTCCACTTCCTTCCCTTTTCTGGAAGAGGAGCATGTGCTCGGGCAACAAGCCAAAGGATGGAGGCAATGCGGGGAGGTACAGCCAAGCTTGCAGGCTATCATTTTAACCCCACTTCTCCAGATGCTCCTCATGGTGTGCGCAGTTTAAGGAGAAAACTCAAGGTGCTGAGAAGCACCAGAAGCAAAGAGAGCTCCTGCACTGGGAAGGTGTGTGCGGCAGCCTGGGAACACCTGACTGGGAACAGCTCTGGGCTCGCTGCTGGCCCAGACCAGCACAGAGAGGAGGTATTTCTCAGAGAGCCAACGAAGTTGGAGGGAAATACATTAGGACAATTCCTAGTCGTATCATACATCTATTTAGGGAAGGACCCGTTTTGTGGTTAACCCTGGCTGGCTCCAGCAGCAGCCTAAGCTAAGGTGGTTTCACAAGCTCCATGGAGACATACCCACACAACTTTCAAGGGCAATAGCAAATGGCCAAAACCCCTGTACTGAATATTTTGCCTAACCATCAGCAGCCCCCCACCCAGAGCTCAGACCGTGTCCTGCAGGAAGCCTCAAGCTGGCATTGTCATGAGAGAGGGTGGAAGCATGGCTGCGGGGTGGAGGGAGGTGGGTGCAGCTGCTGGCCCAACCAAGCTGCTGGCACAAACAGCACCAGCACCAGACGCCCTCTGAGATGGGTGGGAGGTGCCAGGATTGCAGCCAGGCTGTTCTCCACGGGAAGGCCTGCCTGTGCCTCTTCAGGCCGCCCGCATCCTCCATCACATGTGTCCCCAGTGAGCTACAGGACTTTCTCCTGACCTGCATGGACGAGGGGCTGGCCAGATCCTCGGGACGAAGCTCCACTGGGGCCACTGTCTGTCCGTTGGCACTCCGAGCTGCGAGCAGGGTCAGTTTTCGGTGGCAATAATCAATTAAATCCAGAATGCTGTCCTCTGCTGACTCGCAGATCTCCTTCACAACAACAAGAGTTTCACAGAGGGCCAGCCCCGCCCAGCTGTGGCTTTCCACCCCCAGGGGCTTTACATTGAAGAAAGCTGAACCTGCCTCTTACCTTGTAAAAAAACACTGTCTCCAAGAGGTTAATGATGGAGGCTTCATGATGCAGCTGTGGGAGGAAAATGGCAAGAGTGAGGTAACAGCGGAGGAGTCACCAGCACCAAGGACACAGGCAATGGGACCAGGAAAAGGGCTCTTCTAAGAAGCTGCTTATGTAGTTGTGGCCAAACACAAGTCCAAGAGCCAAATACCAGTGATGCAATCTTTAGAACAACTCCAGTTCATGCAGGTCATATTAATATTTATGTTAACATGCCTATGACACTATAACACCACTGATAGAGAACCACGCTTCCCAGCATGCAGGGTTCTTCAGGGCTCTGTCTCTGCGCTACAGTGGCAGCACAACCATAGCCCTTGGGCAAGCTGCAGCCCCTGGCACCAGCATGGAGCCACTGCCTGAGACTGGACAGTGCTTTGCACGGCTGTGCTGCTCTCAGCCCCCTGGGACCAGGGCAGGCAGCCTTGTCCTGAGACTGGGAACTACAAGATAACTGCCTCCAGGCAATGCTGCAGACAAACAGCTACCCAGGGAAGACACCACCTTTCCCCAGCAAGGTGTTAACCCTGGACTGAAAATGGGCTAAAACTTCCAAGCCTCTGGCAGATTCCCTTAGGTCAAGGCCTGCATGCTTCCACAGGGCAGCCAAGCTCCCGAGATCGCTCCCTTGCCAAGAATGGCTCAAGGGACCGCTGCTCCCAGAAGCTTGGTAAGAAAAAGCTATGTATTTTTTAACCCAGAGGCATGTAACCTCAGAGAGCCCTCTGGCTAAAAGTGCCAGAGAAAAACAGTGCTCAAAGAGGGGCAAATACCCCAGGGGTGTTGCTGCTTGGGAGTCCCAAGTTGCTGGGAGCTGCGAGCCAGGAGCACTGCTGCCTCCAGCAGTGCTAGCAGATCCAGCAGATCTAGCAGATCCAGCAAGCCCCTGAGCAGGATTAGGCAGGGGCACAGCCCTACACGGGGCTGAGCTCCCCTAGGAGTGGGTCCCTCCTGGGGGTGGAGACAGAGGCTTGTTGCTTGTGGCTGTGGGAAACCAGGTGCTTCCCCTGTGTCATGCTGTCCACTCCAGCTTCTCAGCCTGGTGAGACGTAAAACCCCAGCTCTGAGATCTCCAGGGTGAGATTTATTTCTAAGTGTAGTGGTGCCTGCCCAATTTCCAGGCTTGTTCCCACTGCCCCCTCTACTCACCACCACATAGATGGGGAAGGTGCTTCTCGGCTTGAAGTCCTCTAGCCGGCACAGCACAGGAAAGATCTTGTGCTTCCAGATCTCCACAGAGATCAGCTCCCCAATGAGAACAGGAATCTAGAAAGGGAAGGGATGGGGGAGCGAAGCCTTTCAGAGCAGTGCTGGAGTGGGAACCAGTTTTATCGCTAATGCTCAGCCGCACAGACTTTGGAGTTATCCCACACAGGAGGGTGGCCTTGGGGCACACTGTCTTTATATTCACCCAGCTCAGAAATCAACAGCTTTTCACCAACAGACCAGAGGGCACAGAGAGCTCCTGGGGTTGCAAAGGGGTAATATGATCCCAGGAGCTGGGCAGGTCCAGGGCACCACATGTCCCAGTGCAGTCCGGCATGCTCTGGGGCAACAACACCCCTGGTACAGGGCAGAGACCCACAACCAGAGGGGCCAGCACACGAAAGAGAACAAAGCAACCTCCAGAGAGGATCAGAGACCAGCAAGTAGAAATACCACAGCTTGACCTTTAATTTTTTTAAAAAGCAATACTGGCAAACCACCAGTCAAATGTTGTTGCTGGAGATACAGCAGATTCTTCACCATTTTATTCCAAAATTGCATGTTGTCTACAAGACAACCCCAGCTCAAGGCTGAAGGCCTGGCACGGGGATCACCACGGCACCCAAGGAGGCTCACCTTGGCATAGGCGACCAGCAGCTCGGTGAAGAGCTGCTCCTGGCCCGCGGAGGCGCTCAGGATGGCATGCATGTTGAGCTTCTCCACGCACTCGTGCTGCCGAAGCCATCTGCAGAGCAGCCAGCATGGACATCAGTGCCAGAGACCTCTGGCCACTGGCTTTGGGGCTCTGCTGCACTCCTGGAGAGGGTCCCTCATGCAGGGAAACCTGCTCCCAGCACCTCCATCCCCAGGAAACACCCCAAGCCTGCCAGGCACGCCCAAACTCCACGCTGTCGTCTGAGCCTATGCATCCTGGGGC